GCCGGGGACCCCCGGGACAGGCGCAGAGGGGGCTCTCGGGGGCCAGACGCTGTGGCAGCGCTGGTTGGTGCCTCATGCAGCACGGAGCCATCCTAAAGGGCTGTAATTAGCAGCTGTAATTAGGCTCCAGGGTTAACGGCCCACTCAGAATTTGGTGTCACGCAGCACAGCCAGAGCGTCTGTGCCGTGCCGTCTGTGGCATCACAGCGACGGCGCTCGCAGCCCCCCAGAACTGCTCTCCAGTAAATCCCGATGCCTCCACTACAAAGCCAGCCCAGTCAGTCCTCAGAGGAGCACGTTCCCGCAGCTGACACGCACACGAACGCTGTAACTGCGGTAACTCACCTGCCCAGCCAGCCAAAACAAAGGAAATCGGGCTGATGACCACGGCGTTTTAGGGAGAGTTTAGTAGAAGTGGTTTCTGGACTCATGGTAACGTCCTGCATTTCCTCCTCACGTTAAGACGAGGCACCCCAGGGCTGTCTGCATGGATCACTCCACTGCCCTCAGGAGGCAAGCCCTTTGCTTGTCTTCCCTGCACAGGAACAGGGAGGAGCTGACCCCTGCAGGGCTCTCCAAACCCCCAGTCCTGACCGCAGCCAGGACCGCACACGGATGTCACCAGGCCTCAGGATGAAGCAGATGAGACCCAGATTAATTAAGTCAACATGAGCCACAGCTCCAGACCCCGCTCCTCAAAGGCTCGCATTCGGCTTGAGCTTCCTCGGCGGGAGGAATTAAACCCTCATGTCCATACTGCAGGCGAAGACTTCACAACATCCCCTAAATCCATCAGCCAAGCACAAGCGCACTCTGCAATTCCACGGCACGTCCCCACAGCACGGCAGCGTTTCCTCCTCCTGTATCTATCCAAGACAAGGGACACAGCCCAGGGCACAGCCAGGCCCTGCTCCCACCCATGGTGCCACCCCATGGTGTCACCCCAAGGCGCAGAGCCCCCTCTGCCACTGGCACAGCCCACACACGACTCCTGAAGCCGCTGCCTTCGTTACCAGCCCATCACCTTCAACGCTGTGCTCCAGAACACAGCTCTCCAGCAGAAAACAGCCACTTGCTGACCCTGCCCCTCCTCTTCCTCACCGCCCTGTGCTGGGGAAGGTCGGGAACGCGCAGACACCAACACAGACACCCTCTGCTCTTGCAGAGAAAGGGGTGCTCGGCCCCGGCACGCACCCCAGCCCCGTGCCCAGTGGGGTCTGCAGTGCCTCCCTGGCATCGCTGTGGAGAAATCGGGATGTCTGGTTACACCGGAGCTGCGAGGACAGCGCCAGAGCGGCCTGTCTGGGGTTAGAGCTCCCACGTTGCTGCTGCCTCCTTCCATTCAGTTAGGGTTAAGGATGGATAGCAGACAAGCCTGAGCCCCACTCACCCCTCTTCAGTATTTGGCAATATTCACCCTCTATAACGTGGAGACGAGCAATGACCTGGCACAAACCCTCGTGCGCCACTGGCAGCATTCACAGCTTCCTCCAAGCCACGGTCAAGCATCCCCAACACGGGAGGGGTGACACTGGCAGCAGCAGCAGGGACCGACCCAGCCTGAGCTCGGCAGGTCCTGCAGTCACACCTCACAGCACACTTCTGCTCAAGCAGAGTCTTCCGGGGAGACAGGAAAAAAAATAAAATAGAAGAAAGGAAAAAAGACAGCAGCTTCAAAAGCACGCAGTTTATTTCTGCAGTGCCTGATGTTCATCGAGTCACACTTCAGTGCTCAGAGCCATGAAACACTGCTTTTGAGGTGACATTTGTAGCTGCCTCATTACTCTTTTCAAAAGAGTTCTGCATCAAAGAGTCAGAGCTTCAAACAACAGGCCCTACAGGAGTAAAATAACTTATTAACAGCACATGAAATGGGATGGCGGGGAACTGCTGATACCAAAACAAGCAGGGCAAGCAACCGTGAGCCTGCGACCGCCCCGGGGATCGCGGGACCCGAAATCTGCAGGAGAGCCGTGACGGGAAGGGACGAGACAGCAGCGCTGGGAGCACACCCACCTTCGTGCTCCTTCTCCGTGGTCCCCACTTTCTTGATCTTTTTGGGCGACTTCATGAAGAGCGGGAAGATGGTCCTGAGCCCCAGGATGTCCACGAACTTGTGGCAGTTGTCGGTGCCCTCGGGGCCGATCATGGCGTGGTCCAGCACCTTCAGGGCGCTGCTGCGGGAAATCTTCTTCTCTCTGAAAGGAAAACCACCCGTTAAACTCTGCAGGGACAGGGGAGCTCTGCACCACAGTAAAGAGACAGCACAGACAGGGAAATGAACGGGACACGGGAAGTGAGGAGAGCCTGAGCACGAGCCCCGAGCAACGTCTTCTTCAAGAAGCCAAAACATTACAGTGACAAACACCGTGCTTGAAAACATTCTCTGGGTTATTTCCTTCTAAATTTCTTTTATGCTTTTTTATTTTCTATTTTCTTTTTATTCAATTTATGTATTTCACTTTTACGCCTTTATTTTCCTCTCTCCATTTTATTTCTCAGCTATTGCAGAAGTGATTTCATCACCGGCTCTCGAACGGCAGCACAAACAGCAGTGGAGAGCGGGCTGGGTACACAGGACACACCGAGAAGCCCGGGATTGAGCAATAATCCCTTGTAGTAACGGGGGACGTTCGGCGAGCGCAGCTCGGTGCTCAGCTACAGCAAAGCAAACCCGGTGTGCAGAAGTCATGGCCGGGAGGACGCGGGCAGACTCTGGGCTGTGTTAACGCTGCCCGGAACGCAGCCCCCGTCGCTCACAC